CCGTGGTGTGTTATTCCATCCCCAGTGCAGACAGAAAATGAGTTTGATTCAAAGACATAAGTAGTAAGGATGCAGCGGAGAATGGAGATGAACATGCAGGTAGTGGTGCTCCCATGTACCTTCCTTACTCGCCTATCTATCTGGTAGTAGTGACGACTTTAGGAAGTATTGCTCAGAAGCTGTGATGACTTGCATCATGGATTTTATTTTTTAGATTATATTCACGATGGTCCATTGGTTGTCATGGCTGTGATAGTTGATGTTGTTGGATCAAGAGAACTATCTAGAGAACCATTCAGTTGTTCAATTATATAGTCTTAAAATAAATAGGTGTCAGACAATATAATTCTACACATTGCGAAATTCCATGGTTTTTCAAGATGCGATCTGCTTTCCAAACCTTTAAAAGAAAAATGTATTCTGTTTATTTTCTTTCTGCACTCTGGAGGTAGATAAACATGGGTTTACAAGCATGGTCCCTGGACTTCAGGGTTTAAGTTATGAAGCGAGATTACGCAAATTGTCCCTTTCTTTTCTAGATCTTAGAAAGTAAAAGGGTAATCTAATTGAGGCCTTCAGGATATTGACAGGAAAAGGCAGGATGGTTAAAGATAAACCATTCCCACTCTTTGGAAATTCTAGAACCAGGGGGCATAGCATAAGAATAAGGGCCAGACCATTCAGGAGAGATGTTAAGAAAACCATTTCTGTCCAGAAAGAGTAGGGGAGGTTCGGAGCCAACTTTGGCAAATGGTGCCGATGCTAATTAATTTTAAATCTGAGTGAGACAGTTCTTTTCTTAATCAATGGATATGAGCCCAAGGTAGGCAAATGCGGATAGACTACAGCTCAGCCATGATTTGATTGAATGGTAGAGCAGGTTGAAGGGGCTGAATGGTCCACTCCTGTTCCTTGTTTCCTATGTTTTCACGCAAACTCACTCACCCACTCCCTTGGACTCACTCCCTCACACACTCACTTTCACATACTCATGTAATCAATCACTCACTCCCTCACTCGTTCACGAACTCTCTCACACACTCACTCAATCTTTCACTCCCTCTCACACTGCTTCAGTCCCTCACTCAAACACTGACTTTCCCACACTCACTAGCTCAATCACTCAATTTCATTCACTTACTCTATCACTTTCACTGACTCACTCACTCACTCACCAAGTACATATAACTATAAGTCAGTTTAAAATTTATTTTGAAATCAGTGACATATAAGATAATTTCTTTGGGGTTCAGGGAAGTTCAATAACGTTTTATAACGTTCAGAAACGTTTCAGGAAATTTCTGATCCATGGAATTTTTCCTTGGCATTGTTCAACTTCTATCTTTATATTTTTAGCTCAAAACCGACCCTATCAAGGAAGGACAGAAAGCAACTTCGAGCAAAATGCGATTATGTCCAACATGTTGTGGTTGAAAAAAGGGTAACTATTGCCATTCATTGATTCCCTTCACTGATTCTAAAATTGTCCTTGTTTTCCCTATGATTTATCTCAATCAAATTCCAAAGGAATAGGTGTGCATTTGTGCAATTGATATCACTACATATTCAATACGCAGGGTTACGCTTCTTGGAGGAGGGTGGCATTTAAGAATGAGATTAGGAGAAATTTATTCTTTCTGAAGGTTGTGATTCTTTGGAACTCCTTGTCAGAGAGAGCTGTGAGGATGGGGCCAGAGGACAAAGGGTTTGGGAGAGAGGGTGGGCGAGGGGGGAGGAGTGGGAGGTGGTCGTTTGCAGGGAAGAGTATTTTTAAGACTGAGAAAGGGAGTTTCTTCAATAGTTGTGGAAACCAAGTGTTATGGGAAAAGGCTGGAAAGTGGACACAAGGAATATCAGAATACCCGATAAGATGGTATTGATTGGCAGAGCAGACTCAAGTGGCCGAATGGCCTACTCCAGTTGCCATTTCTTATGCTTTTGTGGTCTGAGATCATTACTTCTAGCATCTCTACTTTTTCAGGAACATCTTTATGAGATGTATCTCCAACAGTGCATATCGGAAGAGGAAATAGATTAAAACAACAGATTTTTGCTGGAGCCTGCATGAAAAATCTGACATGATGCAAGTTCTAGATCCGTACTTTAATGAAAATATGTTACAAATACAAAAGTAAACTTGTCACCATTCGACAGAAACCAGGTCGTCAGGCCTGTCATATGCACTTGACTGTTCAATCCACTATTTCGAGCTTTGTCTTCTTGTGTGCAGAAAAATTGTAATGAGAATTTCTGACCCTTCTCTGTCTGTTTTATCAAGCATTTCCACATATTTCATTCTTCTGTTTGACTCGGGGTCATAGTTGGCCACCACTCTAACCATCAAATCTGAAAGTCAACGCCTCCCGGAGCTCATAAATTATCAATTTTGGACTCAATAACAAATTTTAGAAAATGCAACTGTTTTTCTCACCACTTTATAAATTTATAGTCCTCGCCATGTCATTAACGAGAACTGCAATCATGGGCTTCTCGAGCTATTGTTTTAATAAACTTTATGAATGGTTCTTTGTGCTCTATGTCTGCATATGGATTTTCAAACATATGGATGTGTCTTACATTTCTGGTACAATGGGGTCGATGCATTCTAGTAACAGTGCCAGGTTGCTTTTCTGCTCATGAGTTATTATTCATTTCAGGTGAAAATGTGCTGCTCCTTTGAGGCACTGTGTGCAAAGCATTTCTGGTAATGGAGCACAATGGAAATCTGTAACAGAGCTATGGGAACAGGCTTGCTCAGCAAGTGTGCTCTTAAAGAGCCTACTTTGAGGTTAAATTTAACTCCAGTGATAAAGTTATTTCAATCCATAGAGACTGTGACAGTGTGTCCTGTGAGGTGTCGTCTCACTACATAAAATATGAGAACAAACAATTTCATTAGGCCCAGCGTGCCTCGTCCATCATTGTAGGTCATCATCGACATCCAGGCAGCTTTGTCAAGAATGCGCCCATCACATATCCCTTGATGCCATTCATATTCATGAATATGTCAATTTATGTCTCGAAAACGTTCCATGATTGAACTTACAGAGACCTAAATGACCTCAATTACAGGAGGTTATAGACACACTGGTCAGATATTTGCAAATGGAATTTAATCTGTATAAACGTGAGGCAAGAAAACAAAGTAAGAGAAATAGCAGGATCCTTGGAAGCACTGACGTTCAGAGGGATCTTGTTATGTAAGGACACCAGTCCTTGAAGTTATCAGGAAAGATGGAAGAAGTGGATAAGAAGGCATTTGGTGTACTTGCTTTTGTTAACCAAGGCATAGAGTTTAGATTTATGCTGGATCTGTATAAAAATTTGGGTAGGTCAAGTCAGAGAATTGTATGCATTGTAGGAGGGATCTGATTGCACTGAAGAGAATGCAGAGGAGGTTTGCCATGATGTTCCCAGGGTGGACAGTTTGCGTTATTACGAGAGATGGGACATACTGGAGTTGTTTTCATCAGAGCAGAGGGTATTGAGAGGAAACATGCTTTCAGTGTATAAAGGGGCACAGGTCTGTGAGACAGGAAGAAAATTCACCCCTTGTGGAGGATTAATGACCAGGTGGCATCAACTTAACTTAAAGGTAACGGCAGGGGATATGGAGGAAATTTGAGGAACATTTCTCATCCAGAGAGTGCTGGGAGTCTGGAACTCACCGCCTGTAATTGTGGGAGAGGGAGAAACCCTCATCACATTTAAGAATTATTTAGGTTCACACTAGTGATGCCAAGGTATACAAGGCCATTGGCTAAGTGCTGCAAAATGGGATTAGAATAGGAGGTTTACGAGGTTGTTTTCGGCCCGTGCAGACACAACAGGCTGAAGTGCCTTTTTAGACGACAACAGGACACACACCCTGACACGTAAGCACCTACACACACACACACACGTAAGGAGGCTTAGACAAAGTCATCCCCTTCCCCTCCCCCCACCACACATTCACATGTACACTCTCTCACACACTGAAAATCCATGCCGAATGGCATTATGTGTCTACCTACAGCACGTGGACTGCAACAGTATCAGCTCAGTATCACCGTCTCAGGAGTAACGAGGGACGGGCAATAAATGCTGATGAGCCAGCAATGCCTATGTCCCAAGTATGAATAAAAAATGCACTCACACTTAGACACACACTCACATACCGAAAATTACATACAGGCAGACATCAACACACACAACTGCAATATACAGACAAGCACAGATGCACACAAAAAGACTACCATGCACACACCCACACACACACAGAAAGGCAAACACATAAGACTGTAATGCTGAATGTTTTAGTTTATTTCTTTATTCCCCGACTACTGTACTTAAGATTTTGTATTGGTACTTTGTAACTAAGATGGAACAGTGTCTGGTGATGTTATACACTTTTCATTATTTTTTTTTTTCCTGTACTTGAGTACACGGGACAGGAAAATTTAAATCTAAATCTAAATTTAAATATCAATGCTGATCTACGCAGCAGCATACAGCAATCCATGGACAAAGAGTATACAAACAGATACTTACACTCCATGCACTCAGACTTAAAGACACAAAGTCCAGCAGAAGAGCCGCATTACAGTTGGTCAATAAGCTGTAAAGTTGCTAAACGAGGGGCCGAATGGATTCTCCATGGCATTGTGGGTGGCCATAGATGATGCTAATCTGTGTAGGGCACTCTGTGATTGGTTAGGACTGGAACCATCGATGTCCTTGTTCCTGGACTTTTCAGGTTGGACCACATTCTTGGATTGCCTGAGGCAGTTGTCACTCAGAGACTATTGCCATCAACTGGACAGGGGAGAGGCGGGTCAGCCTTAACAAACTTCCCATCGGTTGTGCCAGCTACTGGTCAAAGTTCAGCCTTTGTCCCGAGGTGGCTGGTATAACAGGTCAGCTTCTTGCTTAGCCAGTGCTCTGAGATCAAAGTTGAGCGTCGGTTTATCTTTTGTATCAGTCTGTGGCTTCAGTGATCTGATTGGCAGGCCTCAGTCGCTTTATTTCTTCATTAATCGAATACTTGCTGTGACAGGATATTTCAACATCTTCTCGATCTGCTCTCGAAATTTGGACTGAGTCAACCCATAAATGAAGGTATTTATGCTGCAATTTAGATTGAGCAGCATCCATCCAATTTGTTGAAATATAAATTCAGAAAGTGTGTAATCTGCAGGATTTGTTCCTGTAATTTTAGAGTATAAGAATTCGATAACATACACTGACCACAAGACAATGAAGCTGCCCGATATGGTGAAGAGTAAAATGACAGACTTCCTTCTACTCTCCATCTCTGGGTCTCGAGAATTCTTTGCATTGCTCTGACCTCTCAGTCCTTTACGTACTCGAATAGTTACTAAAATGTGTTGGACTGTCAGAGCATTGATTAACAGAATTAAAGTGAATGGGAGCAAAGGGGTTAAAATCCGATCAAACCAATCAAATCCCACCCATCCGGGATCAGCATAATAGCTTGGTTTCACAGTACAGAGCCACGGGACACTGTCAATTATCATCAACGGTTCAAATGTAAAGTAGTATGGGATGTTTCTTAAACAGAGCAGGATGCAGGTTACTGTGAGAACCAAGGCTGCAGTTTTCCCGGTGCAATATTTCATTTTCAGCTTCTGGCAACAAATGGCCACAAATCGATCAAAGGAGAAAGCGACAGTGAACCAGACAGAACAGTCTGTAGTTGCAGAAGCCAGTACAGTTTTGAGACTACACACAGGGGCAATATCCAGGAATGTCCCTGGGAAATAATAAAAGCTGATATGCCACAGTACAGCATTTATCATAATGACTATGAGATCCGCCAGTGCCATGGCCACCAGATAGCGTGTTGTGCATGTTGAGAGGCCACACTTTCTGCGGGATAGGATCACAATTGTCAGTAAATTAGCTGTAAGAGAGGGAATGAAGAAGAATCTGGAAATGACTGAACAAAAATTTTTCATATCCAACTCAAATATTATGGTTATATTGCAAAATGAATACAGGAAAATTCAACGAAGTCGTCACTTAATCTGTGCTTGACCCTTTTCTGACGTACAAGAGAGTTGGTTATTTTGCAATGAATGTGGTTATTGCATTCCTAATGTTTCAAGCAAATAACTGTTAACTTGGAAGAAGAAGGAGCTTGTAAAATATAATAGGGGGAGGGGAAAACAAATGGCATTATTCCTGGGCCTCTTGGAAATGCACAGGAAGTGTCAAGGAGTCATAAAATCATAGAGCTATACAGCACAGAAATAGAGCCTTTGGTCCCACTCGTCCATGCCGACCAGATATCCTAAATAAATCTAGTCCCACATGCCAGTATTTGGACCATATCCTTTCAACCCTTCCTATTTATATCCCCAACGGAATTCCTTTTAAATGTTGTAGTTGTAGCAGCCTCCACCACTTCCTCTGGCAGCTCAGTCCATATGTGCAGCACCCGCTGCATGAAAAAAGATGCCTCTAAGTTCCATTTTAAATCTTGCCCCTCTCACCTGCGCCCTCTAGTTTTGGACTCTGAGGGTCAAATGTTTAGTGTCATTGTGTTGTGACAAGGATATCAGGATGGACAATGTGACAGAAAGACATGAATATGGGGTGGCGTTGAACTTGCTGTATGTGGCAGGTATGTTGGAGGATGCGACATATAATCATTTCAGTGGCAGTACAATGGGAAATTGTAACAAAGAAAAGTAATATGACAGAGCTGCTGTGAAAACATCTTAATGACGATATTCAGCTTAGGACATATTATGTAGTATACATGTAAAAAAGGTAACGACAAGGAGGGTAAATGGAAAAATGGATAAAAGGCAAAAATATTGACTCTGTAATTAAACAGGCACAAAATTGAAATATGATAAGTGAATTTATGGCACAAATATTGCTAAATAGATCCAACAGAATAACCATTAGATAGACATACCTTTAAGGAAATCAAGCTGAAAACTAAATATTCAAGGGTATGTGAATTTTCAAAAGGACAAGTTGGAAGCAAAGAATGGTGGAGTAGTTTCATTAATATGGGCATTAATATGTACGATAGCAAAAACTGAATTTGGTTGACATGATATAGAATCCATCTTACCTGAGTGGAGACAGGACATACCAAGGACAAAGAAAATACTGGTAAGTGGTAAACAATGGGACTGCTGGAAGCAGCTAATCTGTTGGTCAGTACATTAATGGTGGGTGACATTAATTATCAGGTAGATTGGGAGAGTAAAATTGGTGAAATTAGACATAAGAAATATCTCATAGTGATTTGTTGTGGTTTGTTTCCCGGAGTACTATGTTGGGGATGCAACCAGGGTTTAAGTTATCTTTGATATGATAATGAGTAATGACGCAAGCTTAATAAATGATCTTAGATTTAAATGTCCATTGGGAAACAATAAGCATAAAAATATTGAATTTAGATCATGTTTTCAGTGTGAGAGTGAGTACAATGTGCTAGAAACAACTCTGTTTAATCTCGAAGGGTCAATGACATTGAGACAAAGGCAGACTTTGCTGGAGTAGCTTGGGAAAGAAGGCGAGCAGAAGAGAAAGTTGAAGATACATTAAGAGAAAAAGGAAATAGTTCATGACTCACAGCAAAAAATATATCCCAATGAGGAAGGGGACAATCCAATTACAGTTAACCAAAGAAGGTAAGAGCAATTTCAAACCTTAAGAAAATACCATACAATGCAGCAAACATTTGCAGAAAACCAGAGAATTGAGAACGAAATATGTTCAAAAATTAATAAAGAACAAGAAAATAAACAATGTGCACAAGCAATCAAGTTAAAGAAAAATGCGTGGTAAGACCTTCTTTAAATAAATATATAAAAAAAGAAGAGAGAGGAAATAGACATAATAGCTATCAGTAGAGAAGAATTACTCAGAAACCTCATGGACATAAATGGTGATATGCCTGTGTCACAATATTTTAGTCACATTCTAGGATCCGAGGTTTCAACCTGATCTGAGCTTGCCAACGGGTCAGTGCAGGGTCAGTTTCTGGAGGAGCGTTCAGCAAAGTCGGAATAGTGTCAATGACCTTCTGCATTTCACCAGAGTGAGTGCACCATCTTTTCTCCAATATCTCAAACTTACTCTATCACTGACAGACCACCACCTCCCATGAAATCTCATGCTCTACCATTCGCACGATTGCCAGCAACGTCTACCCAAGTCAGTCTCAACCTCCCCAACCCCCGAAACCACTCACGTCGTATGCCCTCTGTACTGCCCACTCACTGACTAAAGAGAAAGCTTCTTGGATTAGTGAATGCACGAAATGACATATCAAGACGTAATGATTGAGTTCAATTCGACACTGGCAGATACTTCAAGTGAGAATGTGGTCAAAGGGATCAGATATCGAACTCCACTCAATGATCCACGCTCAATTCGTCGTTATTCTGAATTACACTGAAACTTTAACATTGAAAGTTTAATTTGTCTGCTTCATTAATGTAATAATTTGATCATTCAGAAAGCCTGTGCGTTGGAAGTGCTGGTTTATAAACAGTTGTGGATGTGGGGCATAAACACAAACATAATTCAAAATTATTAACTTAACCAAACAGTGTTAGTTTGTGTGCATTTATAAGGGTGAACATTCGATGAGCATGGAACATTGTGCATCACACAGTAATAGCAGAGAGCAGCTTCACAGATTCACGCAATTTCACTGATTATCGTCACTTACCAGGAACTCCAATGACAGCAAGAATCATGTAATATATTTTCAGGACGTCATCAATTGGACAAGACATTTCCAATGTGTATTCTGTCTCAATCTGAGCTGCAGACAGTTTCTCGCGGAATTAAACAATGATGAGTTCAATTCCCCAACCCTTTCATTTGTGGCCTGTGAGATCACCACTCCAACCCCTACCCCGGAGACATTGATGTTAAAAACATTTTCGACTTCGTGAAGAAACAGATGATGACAGCAAGTTAATTGGCTTTTTCTTGGGGGATTTTCTTTCACTACTGAAACTCAGTTATTCCATTCTATTCAAAAGAATTAAATCATCAACAAAACAGCATCAGCGTCCTTCCAGGAATGGTACTTCTCCTTCAGTATTGATCAGTCCCATCACCAGACCTCAGAGTGTTTCACTGATGTGCTTCACTCACATGGGCCATTGCGTCATTCCATTCCACGTGTCTGAGTCGCTCCGCCGCCCCCTGCACCCCACCAACCTCTTCTCGGCTATTCTCTCACAATGTGGGACAACCCTACTATTTTAAACCTTTTTCCGCCTCAAATCAACGCCCTAAATAACACCAAGCAGCAGACGCAAATGGTAAGGTAACACATACTTCCTGACTGAGAGTAAATCCAACCACTACAAACACTACAAATATATACTACTGCCAATTGGAAGAGGAGCTGCAACCGCTGCAGACCCCCCAACAGATACAGATATCCCAGCAGATACATATATCCCAGCAGACACAGACACCCCAACAGATACAGATATCCCAGCAGATACATATATCCCAGCAGACACAGACACCCCAACAGATACAGATATCCCAGCATATACAGATATCCCAGCAGATACAGGTCCTCCCCAAAAGGTACAGAGACCCCAACAGATGCATTTAACCCCCAACAGGTACCGAGACCCCAACAGATACAGAAACCCAAAGATACAGATATCCCAAGAGATACAGGTCCTCCCCAAAAGGTACTGAGACCCCAACAGATGCATATAACCCCCAACAGATACAGAAACCCAACAGATGCAGATATCCCAGCAGATACAGACAGCCCAGCAGATACAGGTCCTCCCCAAAAGGTACTGAGACCCCAAAAGCACATGATAAGAACATCACATTTAATAAATCCTTGTTCGTTCAAAAATTAATACATTGCAAAAAAAAAGTGACGAGCTGTTGAAACATTTTCCCCTTTCACTCACCTTAACTAGGGCGCAAGAAACAGACTGGAGAAAATAGATCATTTTGGACAGAATGACAAGAGGGTTCAGATTGCTCGTATCATTATTGACACGGAGGTAGTGCATGAACATTGAACCACTAAACTTCATTCTTAGAACAGGCGTGTGCGCTAAATTAACTGCTGTTGCCGTGGAATACCACCGGGCCCAGTTATTGCTCACACGTTTGTTGCTTACATGAGAGTGCATATTTGACGGAAAAACCAACTGTCCCATACCCCTGACAATATTTAGAGGGCCCTTTTACAATATTTCACATTCGTATCAAATAATTTCTTTACAAAGGATAGCAAACACTTCCCCCTACTGTCAAATTCACGATTCAAGTGAAGCAATCAAAAGTGCTCCCCTTTCTTGATAAATGTAGCAATCCCAGGACAGACTCAGCACGGGATTAGATACAAAGTAAAGCTCATCAACACTGTCCCCATGAAACACACCGAGGACGGGGACAAGATGTGGTTAGATGCAGAGTAAGGGTCCCTCTACACTATCTGCATCAAATACTCCCAGGATAATACAACATGGGGTTAGATACAGAGTAAAGCTCCCTTCTCACTTTTCCTATTTAACACTAGCCAGAGCAGGAGCATCACGAGGTTAGATACAGTGTGAAATTCTCTTCACACTGCCCCAATCAAACATTCTCAGGACAGGGACAACACACGATTAGATGCAGAATAAAGCCCCCCTACATTTACCCCATCAAAAACTCCCAGTACAGTGTCAGCACAGAGTTAAATGCAGAGAAAAATTGACTCTACAGTGTTCCCATCAAACACTCCCAGGACAGAGACAGCACAGGGTCAGATGCAGATTAAATCTCTATCTGTGTTTTTGGAATTTCCTGCTTGTTCCCTATGACCCTTAACTCCCTGACGGATTAAAAATCTGGTTATCTGAGACTTGAATACAATTCATGACCCAGCCTACACAGCCATCTGTCATAAATAATTCCAAACATTCAACCTCTGAGAGAACACGTTCCTCCTCATCGCTGTCTTAAATGAGTGAATACTTTATTCTCAGAATGTGTCCTGTGCTCTGAGGCTCTCCCACAAGGGGAGACAATGTCTCCCTGACAAGTTCTGTAAGAATCTTCTTTGTTTTAATAAGGTCACCTCTCATACTTCTCAATTATAACGAGTACGGGCTCAACGTACTCAACCTCTCCTCATAAGATAGTCCCTCCATACCCAGGATCAACCAAGTGAACCTTCTCTGGATGGCCCCTAATACCAGTCTATCTTTTCTTAAATAAGGGACTAAACTCTTCACAGAATTCCAGCTGTGGTCTGAGTGGTGCCCACTGGAGTTTTCGTAAAACCTCCCTACTTTTATACTCCATTTCCTTCGAAATTTACCTTGAATGGAAGCTTTTATCCACTCACTTAACCTCTCTATATCACTCTGCAGACTTTTGATGTCAGCCTCATCATTGTTTTCCAATTTAATTTTGTGCCATCTACAGACCTGGCGATAGTACATCTACTTTCCTCACCCAAGTCATAGATATATATATTTTAAAAAATTATGGTCCCAGCACTGATCCCTGTGGCAATGTGTGACAACAAGGTGCAGGGCTGGATGAACACAACAGGCCAAGCAGCATCATAGGAGCAGAGAGTCTGTTTGTTAGAGGTCGCCATCTGAAAATGCCCACTTATCCGAACTCTTTATATTCTGTTAGTTAGCCAACCATCTATCCATCTAAATTGACTACCTCCAACACTAATTTGCATCATTCCATGGGGTTTCAAGAAACTGTTGAACGTACTAAATACATCAAAGGCTCTGAGACCTGACAGTATTCCGGCAACAGTCCTGAATGCCTGTGCTCCAAAGTTCTCTGCACCCATGACGAATCTTTTCTGTTGCAGTTCTGACCCTGGCAACTATTCAAAAATGGGAAAGATCAGCTAGGCATTCCCTGTACACTCAGAGCAGCGCAAATCCAGTCGGGACAATTAACTCTCCAACAGCCTTCTCTCCATCAGTACTAGACTGGTGGAGAGTGCCATCAACAGTGTAATCAAACAACACCTGCTTGGCAATGAACTGTTCCTGACACTCAGTTTGAGTTCCACGAAAGGCCAGCCAGCTCATTCCAGTCGAGTTTGGATAATACATAAAGCAACAGGTACCAGGAGTGAGGCAAGACTGAAGTTAAGTGGAATGCAGGAGGGTAACTCTCATCTGGTTGGAGTCCTATCTGGTTGGCAAAAGGGCAGAAGATTGGAGATTTTTAACATCTGGAGGGTTTATTAGTGGAGACCTCACAGGTCAGTACTGGGGCGCTTGCATTTCCTGATATGCATTAATGCTGTGGATCGTGGTAAGCAGGGGACAGTTTGAAACTTTGCAGGTGGGAAAAGAACAAAAATGAGGGAGCAGAGATTGAAAGTGATTTGCAAATGAAGGGCAGGGTGATAGGAGGGAAAATCTTCTTTCACCCAGTGAGTAGTTAGGGTCTGGAAGGCACTGCCGAGAAATGTCCTGGAGACAAGTCCAAATGAGTCATTTAAAAGGGCATTCCAAAATTATTTGAATAGAATTGTTGTGCATGAATCGAAGGAAAAGACAGGAGATTGGCACTCTACTGGCCCGATGCTCAAGTGGGTTCAAAGAACAAGACGAAGAACAGCGTCACAGCACAGGAACAGGCCATTCTGCCCTCCAAGCCTGCACCAGCGCATTTTGCCCTTCCTTATTAAAACTGTTTTCACTTATAGGACCCCTGTCTCTCTATTCCCTTTCTATTCATGTATTCGTCCACGTGTTTCTTAAATGCTGTTATTCTGTCTGATTGCCCACCTTCTCTGGTGGCACGTTTCAGGAACTCACCACCCTTGGTGTGAAAAACGTGCCTCATACATCTCTTTTCAACTCTCCCCATCCTCAAACCTTGAACCTGTGTCTTCAAATAATTGTCCCCTCCAAGCTTGGGAAAAGCCTCATACTTTACACTCTATCCATGCCATTCACAATCTTATAAACTTGTATCAGGTTGCCCCTGATCCTTCTGAATTCCAAAGGACAGGAAGCCAGCTCTCCAACATTTCCTCATAGTTAAAATCCCCCATTCCAGGCAACATCCTTGCAAACCTTTTGTGTACCCTCTCCAAAGCATCCACATTGTTCTGGTAGCGTAATGATCAGAACAGTATGCAATATTCCAAGTGTGGCTTAACTAAAGCTCTATAAAGCTACAGCATAACTTATCTATTCTTATCAACAGCAGCAAAATAATGAAAAGAAAACATACCAGAAAAGATCAGCAGATCTGGCAGCATCTACGAAGACAAATCAGAGGTAACGTATTGGGCCTGATACCTTTCCTCAGAACAGAGGAAATTCTGAAGCAATTATGATTTACAGCATCCGCTTTTCTTTTGGTGTCTATCCTTATACGCAGTGCCACTTCCAATGAACGCAACCATGCCATAGGCCTTTTTACTCTTTATATACCTGCGCTGCCACCTTCAATGATTTTTGGACCTGCATAACCAGATCCCTTTGCATATCAATACTCTTAAGGGTTCTGCCATTCACTGTATAATTTCCACCTGTACGTGACCTTCCAAAATGCATCACCTCACATTCATCCAGATTAAACTGCCAATCCTGTCTGTCGTTCAGCCAAGTCTCCATAATCGCAACAATATCACAGTTCCTGTTCAAAGGCAATATAGACTTTTGTCGTTTGTCCCAAGATAAGTTAGGTAAGCTTCCTGCCTTGTCCATTTTCGACCCAATAAACATATGGGCATTAATAGAATAACGTGTGTTCATTTGTGTAAAATAAATCGTGTTCATTTGTGTTATAGAGACCGTAAGAACTGCAG